TAGGTGCGTCACAACAAGATTGGTGTCTGCTAGATTGGGCTGTCGTGGTCACCGCAGGTCATAGAATCCGCGCCTAGTGGGTGATGTTTTGTCTTCACCGGATTTTATTTACTATTTCGAGAGTACTCGAGTTATTTGGTTTAGGGACTACAGCTAAAATGTTTTTGAAATATTTTGAATCTAATTGGCCTTGACGTTCTGCATGAAATGAATGCAGTAATTTGTTCGACAGAAAAGAAGCAAGAGGTAAGACAGATCTCAATGAAAATAGATTACGTAGACAAAAATAGACGCATCCTCTTCTGATGAAAGAACAGGTAAGATATACAGCTTCAATTTGATAAACGTTCAGTCAGAGTCCGAAATTTCAATGACCGTTGTCGTGTCCACAGCTGGCGGCGACAGCAATGCCGTGGGCGGAGGCTGGGCAGGCACCGGTCCGCAGGACGGGTCTGAGGGGGAGGGTTCGGGGGGCGGAGGGGAGTGACATTCGAGGTGAGAGGGTGCCAGCGGCTGACGCGCAGCGGGCTGGCTGAGCGCGGAGTCGGTGAAGAAGCGCGGCTGGGCGAAATCAACTCCATCGCAAACCAACGCAGCTGGCAGACCGGGCATATCGGCGTACAAATCTTCGAGCAGCAAATGCAGGTCGAATACGGCTAAATGAAATATATGCGACAGCGTGAGAAAAATAGCCAATAACTCGTTTTTTTTTGTTAAAAAAGACTTCATTTTTACAGTGTCGACAAACTAACATCACTCGCATGATTAACACAAACTGATGGACTAAGTTTTAGTGTTGTAGAAACGATTCGACTGAAGACCTTTGAAAACCAAGACAAGCAGACACTTGGGAAAAAAACGCTATTAGATCCCTGCTGAAAATATTGCGAGCGATAATTCTAGGCAACCGCGACAATCTACAATTGGCATATTCGAGAAACCACCATTGCATTGCAAATGTAAATACTTACACTACTGTGAGCACAATGAAAGAATAGCAAATTACCCCGTTTAACTTTCTCCGCGATTTCCGGATCTGATGGCAAATCGATGCGCTTAATGGGTCCTTTTTGAGTTAGACGAGAGGAGAAAACGGAGAGGAGCTCCTGATTTTTCTTCAGCAAAGCCTCTGGAGGCTCGGGTGTTGAGTCGGCCGAGGTTTGTCCCAGTGCAGCCAAAGTAACACTAGCAAGAGCCTGTTCGACCAGGAGGGCGTGCTCGAGCATTCGCAAACGATCCACCAAGAAGGCAACGATTTCGGCGGAGAACGCGCAACTCTCACGCATCTCCGAAATGAGATCGGCTGATAACAATAAAAATAAGGACTTGCCCAAGTTTAACTGAAAAAACAGATCAGGCAAAAGTTGGCTTCGAGGCACAGTTCGCATGAGCCGGCGGTCTACATTTGTCAGGTTAAATGGGGCGGCTATTAAGTCACCGCGTGCGCACGCCGCTTTCATCGTCTGCCAGCCCCTCGACTGGTTGTCCGCTTCCCCACCCAACCAGATATGACAAACGCCATACTCAAGAACGGCATTTACTGGCATGTTAATAAACGAACACATCAACCTCGCCCTATTGCCTTATTGCAGGCGCACGAGTTCTTTAGTAGCAAAGTCATGACTGTGAAAGACCCCCAACTTGGCCTGCTGACGGGGACGGCGGAATCGTTGGTCCTGGATTTAATGTGGTTAATTTTGGTTTGTTCAGCTAACACACTGTGCATTGATTTGCTCATGTAACTAAATTTGAGAAGCAAGACTAAACTACATGAAGGAGAAAAACCGACTCAGGACCTGCCGTTTCTAATAATTGAACTAAGTGGATCTCAAACAGGCAGACTCCGCAAGATTACATTAAAACGACTAAGCATATGCAAGTAATGATGGATAAACCGAACAAGTAAATTACACTTAGTGTGTTGGCGAATAAGTATTAAAGTAAATTTATTGGGCGCTGACGACATTAACTGGTGGCGTTCGTCCCACATTGCCCGCGTTTCTAATTTCGCACAATAAACTCAATCTACACCACACCTCTCTCGTCTCCACCGTGCCTAATCGTCTCAACAAGTTAAGCAAATCTGAACAGGGGATTTTCGCTGCAACATAGCATCCTAACCACATCGCATAGTTTGTCACTGGGGCAAACAGTGTTTCCTAATGGTTTGCGTAAGGATAGATTAAGACTGGCTTTAAACAACACTTCAATTATGGAAGCGTAAGAAAATCGTTAGACTGGCAACTACCGACTCACCATCTGACTTTTGCCTAACAAAGGGATCGGCTTTCTCAGGCGGTAGAATACGTTCGGCCAGACCGAGGAGAACCATGCTGAATCTTTTGTCCGCAAGAATTTCCATGAAAGCCGCGTAGCCATGCGCATGGATGCCGGCGAGGAGCCAAAAGTCATGGCGGTAGTGCCACTTACGCAGGATCACACTGAAAAGACGATGCTTACCGGTTTGGGGTGATGTCGACTCAGTCTGGACCTGAGCGAATCGAGTCTCTAATTCGGCCATCTCTTGTTTCCAAACAAGAGATAGCATCGTCAAGCCGCCCTCATGAATGGCGAAGCGAAACCTACTGTCAGTCGTCTAAAAGGACAGAGTAGGGAGACTCAATTAAAGCTATGCGCGGATTAATTGCTGCCTCACAGAACGCAAAAGTTTTCCCTGGGAGTGAGTCCTACTCTTCTATGAGAGACAAAAATGCGACCTAGACCTACCTTCTTGTAGCGACGGGGAACGGCGTTGTAGTCTTCAAACTGAATCACCTTGGCTCTGATGAGAGCTATCATGGCGATTCGAGAGAGCACCATGATGCCAGATACACCCTCCGTCGGAAGACCATCAGACCACCTGGGGGGAAATTTAGGCTGGCTACAAAGTGGCAGGCAAAACAGATCGACCATCTCGGCCATTTCAGTGCAGGAGTCAAGGAAATGCCAGTAGACTGGGAAATAGAGGGTCCCAATAAAGTTTTCTCAATAATCCCCATTCTGGAGTTTGGGTTACTTGGTTCGTCTCCTAGTCTCGCCCATGCTAAGTCAAGTAACCATGTTCCAAAAATGATAACAAAAAACTCAATCTTTACGGTGTCATAGAAGCCATATGCTGAGCGCCTGAATTACTGGAACGGTTGACGGTGAAAATAGATGACTAAACTGTCCAGCTTACCTAAGGGTCTCTGTGTCAAGTACCTTCGGGTCTTCATATAGATGGCGCATAAAAAGATTCGTGTAGGCGAATAAACTGAGCGGAGGTTTCGACCTAAGACTGAAGGGAAGCCACTCCGGTGGGGGTAGGATTCCCATTGGAGGAAGTCCGTACCTAAAACATGCAAACAGAGGATTTGTAAATTCAGACAATAACCCGCGAGGTGCTAGTGATAAATAGCACACCGTGGGGTGGTAGTAACGGATTCGAGGAGTGCGGTTCCGGGCGATGACAAACACACACACACACAGGCAAAAGCATCAAGGCGCAGAAGATAGTCCACCCGAAAATCAGTAAAGTAAGTGAATTATTTGATGACCGTGACGTTAAGGTTTACAAAACAGAGCCGTCCAAATTCGGATTCGCAGTGTGGCCGCCTTCAGTCTGCACTGTGTCATTACGGCAAGAATGAGATCTGGAGTCATGCGTTGTTGACAGAGTGCTTACAGAGCCATAAACTCAAAAAGAACTTTCCTTGAGAGCATACGGGTAAAAGGTACATGCACGAACACATGAAATTTCAAGTGAAATCGAGCGGAATATTGCCGAAGCAATTCAACAACTGGTGTTAAATCAAGAAATGGCTTAAGAGCTGTTTAACCTGAGTAGATGATGTATCAGGTAAGACATATTGAAGCCAACAATTAGCACCACGTGTGTGTGTGAAATTAACAAAACTGAGTGAAATAGTCGAAGGCTAAAAGCCACTAACGGTAGCTCACAGTAGGCAGGTAGTGCAACCACCTCACACGGTGCCAAACAACCGACCATTGAGCTTTGATGCCAAATCATACACATATTTTTAATCACTTTTTACAGCAAAATAATGTGGAGAAATTGACACTCAAGGGGCAAAGATGCTTAGGAATAAGTCAATCCTCTTGATCATACTACTTTTTGATATACATAACCCATCAACGTGGGGTTTTATTAGTGAAAAAAACTACTCTGACTGACCTTACCACTAATGACAGCTCAGAGAGACCTTGGTTATTATAAAGGGCAATCGAATTCGCACATTGTTCCTTGAGCTCTGTAACTGTACAAACCGAATGTCACCGTCCCAAAGACAACTTGATTCATAAGGACTCACGTTTCTGACTTTTTCATCTATTCGGCGTTTATTGACAATATCTCAAAGATAGCACCAACAGTAAAAAGCTCTTTGCACGAGGCCATGTGCCTGCACAACTGCCGGAGGAGGCCGCCGACGAGCCAGACAAAAGGTCTGAGTACTTGGGCTCGGGGCTTTGCCTCTGTACGCTGGTGCAACGCACCACAAGAGAGAGGAGAATTAAGTAATCATGGCAGTCTGAAAACCTTGGATTAAATTTGCCCGGAGCCTACAAATTCGCAGTTGCATACTAACAAGTAGACTATGAATCCAAACGCTCACCGCATAACAGATTCAAGAAACACCTGGCGATCATGGGCATCGAAACCATAGACCGTCATTTTGCCGTCTTCACTGAACACCACGTCTTCAGATAACTGAGCAGAAAAGTCCTTCCAAGTGGCGTAGATTGAGTGGGAGTCGGTACGCCAATTGATTTGACGATACAATTCCGCCAACTGAAGTTCGTCAAGGGTTGGAAGTGCTCGCTGCAAGTGTTCATCGTCGTTAGTCGTAAACAGTTGCTTCCGTTTCTTCCCCTAAAACACACACACACACACACACACGAATATTGCTTGAAGCGATGGGGGGCAGGATGAATTGGGATTCGAAGCGGCCGATTCGCCGGTGATGCAAGATCTACTACTCCAAAATAACACAAATAGGCCCGTGATATTCCCCCAACACTCAGTTCACCATGAGGCACGCACGTAAAGGGAGTGAGTCAAGTAAAACCACTGCGCATAAGCACCAGAGGTTTACATTAAATTGTGCACATTAAATTGTAGCAAAAAGACGGTAAGTTGCTTTAATAATGCAATGCACAAACCTTATTTTGGTTTCTAGTGGGAGCAGACGAGTTGCCCTGCTCGCCCATGTGAGAACCCCTCATCCAGGTTTCAACATCCTCAACATTGTCGACTTCATCAGAGGACTCCTCTGTATCAGGGCAGAAATCGTTATCACTGTCCTCGACGCGACGAAAACGCCTACTTATTCTTTGACGTCTAGTCTCACTCTCTTCATCGTCCACTTGTGATACATTATGGAAGGTGGAAAGACAGGCAGCCGTAGGCCGTGGCCTGCGACAACTTTTCCGACGTTGAACCAGGCCGTAGGCATCACCGTTCTCCTCAACTACCTCTGGCTTCGTCCGCGTTCCCGACGTAGAAAAAAGCCTACGAGACAGGTTAAATCGTGACTACCTGAAATTCGTGTTTTAAAAATAGTTGTCTGGACTAGGTCGGATTTTTGCTACGCTACATTTCACAGGGATTACACTAAAACTTTAACTGTTTCTATCAATTGTGATTGGTGACAAAAGGCCTCGATAATTCAAAAAAGAGTGGAGTGTGGCGAATTAGACTGAAACCTGCATGAACTATTCTTGTTTCTCATGCTGATGGCTCCAATTCAATGTTTTATGGAGAAATTTCTGGTACACAGTCCGGATTTGATTGAATACAAGCGTAGAGGCAACACATACTCACATTTCGGAGCGGCCGAGACAACCGCCCTTCAGCTATACTCCTACTTAAATGAAGTAAATAAACCCGTGTAAAACTTACAATGAACGAGTTCCAGCAACAAGGCTCACAAATTCCACTTCGGCGTCGGCACCACAGCCCGCATCATCCCCATTGGTCGAGGGACTCCCGTGGTGATCGGAGTCGTCCGAGTCTTCGATAACGACCATACTGGCATCTGTGAAACAGTTCTCCATGCTACGACAAACACCTGACCTGCGTTGCTGAGCCTCCTGTGACATCAAGCGTTCGTGCCGCCTTTTTAGTAAGGAGTCCCAGAATTGGCTGATCTCATTCGGATCTACCTGAAGTACAAAAAATGCAAGTTTAAGAAGACAAATTTAGTTTGTTTGGAGTTCACACTTGTCGCACAGCACACACCTGCAGTGGACTGTCAGCGATCGCGCGTGAGTAAAGTCTGTTTACTGACCTGATGGTGTCAGTGACTCTTCACTATTTTATTAGTTACTGTAATCAGTTGTCTGCCATCCGGTCAGCCATCAGCACACGGACACACTTGGCTGGCGCGACGCCAGTAAGCCGTCGCATTCGATGTCGCCTGGCTTGTCTCAGGGACTGTTAACTAGCGGTCCGTAAGGTAGTGCTTAGCAAGCCATTATACACCCACCCCCATGTCTGGTTGTCTTTCAACCAATTTATGCCATCAAGACACAAGTTGAGATATCAATAAGGAATAAACATTTTTGGTTGCAAGTACATTGTACGAGGCACACTTGTAAGGGTGATAACTCAAATGAAATGCGCAGAAATGTACGTAAACCGAATTTACTCTTTCCTCATCTGTAAACACTACACTAACATCCGGTTTATCGGCTGGTTGGGACGCTGTGGTGGCGATTTTATCAGTCCCATTTACAGTCAGGTTTTCCTGACACTCTGCGAAATGCGCCGAATTGAATGCGCTCAGGTATTCGTCAACAGCACCCACTGACTCGTCAGAGGCCACCACGCGAGTCCGATCAAGAAGGCGAGCCAGTGCTTCATCGTCGTAAACAATAGACTGGGGTCGTGGTTGTTGTTTAGGAGCATCTAAAAATGACAATATGAAGTTGAATGAGCACCATTATACATTTAAATAAAAAATTATCGTGACGGAACAAGTGACAAACCCACAGCTATCAAACATGACCTGTTGGACCTGCCTCAGCAACCTAGGTGATGAAGCCATACACCGCATGCTGAACGATTAAGACTCCCCGATGTGAAACCATCGGTTGTTCAAAAATCCAACCGCAACACCAACTAAGGGTCAGACGCACAAGCAATCAAAGAATAAAACATTGCACGACCTTCAATGAGCAGGATTAGGCAGGAGTTCGCATGGGACAGACGATGCTCCTGGTGTACTACGTTCCTCTTAAGCAACAATATCTTTACAGCTACACCATTATTTAACTGCGCATATCGCCAAAGAACATTTTAGATCTCTACAGAAGAATGTAAAAGCTCTACAAAGAGATAAAGTTTGCAAAAAGCGACTGGCATTACACATGAAAAGGATCAAATTCACGCAATTGACATGAACTATTTACAATTCCTCAGACTAACCAGTGTCTTCATGGTCGGACTGTGAAATTTGACCAGCTGTACTACTCATTTGATCCACTCCACTTTCAACTTGCTTAACCGCTTTATCACCCTCCTCCTCCTCATCATCACCGTCCCCCGCAAAAAGAACTTCCAGGCCGGTTTTGAGAATATTGTGTGCCTCACTGTGAGACAAACGCAAAAGATTCGACATCTTCTTGCTGCCGTCGCCCTTCCGATCATCATCGATCACCACCTTTGTCAGAGCAAGCTTCTTGTGAGCCACTTGGAGGATACGCTCCTCCACGGTGTCACGCATTATCAGACGGTAGATGAAGACGTGCCTCGATTGACCAATACGGTGGGCGCGCGCCAAAGCCTGGAGGTCACGGTGTGGGTTCCAGTCAGAATCAAAGAGAATCACCTAGAAAGTCGACAAAATATGCTACTTCAAAGACACAAGTAAGAACTCATTCAAAACATTCTACATTGATCGGAACTGACCGTATCAGCAGAAGCGAGATTAATGCCTTCGCAACCAGCTCGGGTTGAGAGGAGGAACACAAACGGAGTAGCATTGTGGGCATTGAATCGATCAATTGCGGTCTGCCGCAGGGTGCCTCTGATTGAGCCATCAATGCGCTCAAAACTAAACCTACAGAAGATAAGAAGGACGTGCACAACATGTTAGGCTGGTTTTTTTTTGCATGAAAAAAAATTTACCCCTCGTTACGCAGTGCTATTTCAATCAGATCGAGCATCCCAATAAAGTGAGAGAAAATGAGCACCCGATGACCGTCCTCTTTCAAGCGCGGCAGCATTCGCATGACAAGATCGAGTTTTGCACTGGCCTCAACCAGCTTCCGGGGTTCGTAAATCCCTCCGCTGAGCCGTGGAGCCACTTCATCTCCCGCAGGCATCAGGTAGGGATGGTTGCAAATCTTCTGCAGGTGCAGCAAAGTGTTCATCAGATTGCGCGTACGAAGCTGTTCGTAGTTTTTAGTGAGAACCAGTTTGTAGATGCGTCTGTAACGATAAAAGCACAGAACTGCCCTAATGCTAAGAGTAAATGAAACAGTGAAAACAGGCTTTACAGACCGCAAAAATCAATAACTGAGGACTTAATGAAATCAAAGTACTCTGTCGCAGGAAAACACTAGACATTACTTTATTTTCCAGAACCGTAAACCATTCTCTTAAATTCAGTGACATAAATATATGTAGGGAGAACACGATAAGCAGAAGTAGTGCAAAACCCTCTGGTGGCATTGCTTCCTACGCTGAAATAGAGTAAATTGATAGCAGTGCTGTTTAGTGGCCCATAAGCAGAACGCCCTACGTAAATAAAGGAGCATTAGCTTCTGTTTGAAATCGCTATAGACGTTGACGCCTCTTAAAACATTTCCTAGGAAATGACCCATTAAATATGAATGACAAGTAGCGGAACAAATTTGGTCAATTCAATTCACTTCCGCCTTTCTCGTATTTTTCCCACCTACTACTTAGTGTTTGTTGCTTCGTATTGTTACGAGTTGGCTTTGTAGTGTACACCAGGTAATAGGGTTTTTCATTTTATCGATGGATTTCGAGGATAAGACTGCACGCATAGGTAAAGAGGTAAATTAAACATAGTGATGGAACGTTGAAGGCTCATAAAACTGACAAGCTCAGTTGAATTTTAGCTATATTCTACTGTTGGCAATCGGCTCAACTGCGTGAGACAAGCCCAAGATAGCCTGCAGATGTTCTTGAGTTCAACCAATTAATTTGTGTCTGCAACACACGCACTGAAGTTTGTTCCGTGAATCGAATGTCTAGCCTTCTTGCGTACACGGACGCGCCTTGTCACACAAAATAACGTCGGTTGAGCCCGACGCTGTCGACGTAGACCACCGGCCTCGGTGCGATTTGAGAGCCCCGCAGGGGCCCTTGCACTGTTTGAAGCATTCGTGAGAACTCTTGTGAGCGTAAGAATAACCCATGACTGCGTTTTACCTTGTACACCTTACACCAAACTGACCACGGACATATTTCGATTACCACGTCCAAGGAAATGTCAACTCCTAACGGATTTGGCTGAAACATACTTTTGCAGATGAGTCAAACTAAGAGGAACGACGGTTTCAGTCTTTTTGGGCAGATCTTTGATGACATCCCTTTTCATTCGACGTAGGAGGTGCCCTTTGAGAATGTTGTGCAGATGACCCATACGCTCCTCTCTGGTCATTGTAGCCCACTGTCCATTTAGATTGTGGAAGTCACTAAAGGAACAAATTTCCCAATGAACTGGAACGTGCGGAATTGCGACAAAGGATAGGTGTTGTGTAACTGAAAAATTTTGCCAAACACTTTGTTGCACAGGGCCAACTTGCAAATACCTAGCCCTGAATGCAAAACAACGCCGTCAACACCCAATACATAAAAAGTACCCTCTGGTTACGATCTTATAAAGACCATCCACAGACGCTCATAAAAAAAAATATTTTTCTTTGTCAGCGATACTGTAACGTTTCGCAAATCTACATGAAATCTAGCATGCCGAACGGTCTTATTTACAGCGGTTACCCATGAAGTCGCCGGTGGCAACACCCAGCCTACTTTGAAAATTACATGCTGCGTACGCACAATATCGAAACCAGACGAAATTTGAGAAGTGCACTAACCTAAGGCTGCTTCACATCTAAAAAATCATGGAAACGAACATCGAGCAAAGGCCTGACACTAGACGTACTTGAATTTTATGGGGTCCAGGAAATGGAGAAGATGCACCAGTTCATCGAGGTTGTTCTGTAGTGGTGTGCCCGTGAGAAGAATCTTGAATTCCACATTATAAGACGACAAATCCCGAAAAAGCTAGCAAATGGTAATGAGTGGTAGAGAATTAGGATTTTCTCACGTTTTAAAAAGTGTCATGGAATTGTTTGAGGCTTTTGTAGCGTTTACATCACCAGGGTGAACATTAAAAACACATTCGTAGCGCAGCTCTACCAACGTCACAAGCACATCAAAAGAACTAGGCATGAGATTCGGACCACTTGAGAAACGCCGGTTGCGGCCACTTAGAAATGCAAAGGCACTTGGGCACAATAAGGTCGCGAAATTGCGTCATACCGGACTTGTCAATGAGAAATTTTATTCATTAACAGGACGTGTGTTAGGTAACGTAAATAGCAAACTTGAGCTCATTAACAATGATAGAGTAACCTTGAGCGATTAGAATTATTAAAGGACGCAAAAATTGAACCGGATTTGGAGAAGTAACCCCTTGCTACCTTGTTCATAGACACAAAACACCATTTACAAGGGCGACTAAATCGATCGCAATTTATGATCTAAGGCTCCTAATAAAAGCAGTGACTAAAATAATAAGTGTGCATCTAAACGAGTTTAGGAAATCAGACTTTTGAATCGCTTAGGCCACTTCCATTTGATAGCCACTCTAATTGGAGAACATATTGTGGAGCATTTGTAATGACAGATTGGCAAAGAGGCTATGACGGTTAATTCGAGATCTATTTTCCCAAAAACGACACTGTCCTTTAGGCTTGACCTGCAAGTCGCTAATGGTTACGCGGCTTGCTTTTTCAACTTACACGTGATTGTTTGTTCTTCAAACGGTGGGCCTCGTCAACGATAAGAGTTTGCCAGTGAAAAGAACACAGGGTCGCTCGTTCCAAAGAGACCATTTCGTAGCTGGTGATCATGGCGTGAAAGGCGGGGATATTGGAGGATTTATTCAGGTAGAGGCAGTACTCACTAAAAAGCAGCACGTTAGGCACTGAAAAGCATGACACAAGCGACGCCAGAGACACGATTCCACAATTTCCGAACCTCGAACGAGCAGCACACACGTGACAACGTACGGTGTGTAGCCAGTCAGGTAGGAAGTTTATCTGTAGTGTAACAGGTAGCGACCTAATTTCAAGTAGGATAAGCTGAGTAATAAGCCAGAAACAAAAAAGACTATACAGTGAATTTACACATAAATACGTCAAAATCACGAGTGCAAGCTGTGCTGACCGCAGCAGTCCCACGAATTGGAAAAGAACTCCGTGATAACAGCTTAGTAAGGAACCACACTAATCAAAGTGGACAGAACTAACTTGATCATTGAACGATTTTGTCGGTCACCAGTGTACAAAATCACTTGCATCTCGGGAGCCCAAAAGGAGAACTCGCGTTTCCAATTCGTTGTTGTGGAGAGAGGACCCACAATAAGGAAAGGGCCAGGAAGTTTGTCCTGCGTGAATAAAATCCATGTGACTAGAGCTAGTCGCAGCAAAGGCAAGAGATGTCATAACACAAACACCATAGGCACAGAAATCAACAAAAATATTCGAACCGTGAAAAATTAAGCAACAAAAAGTATTCAAATCAAATATTTGGAGGTTACTAAGTCTGGTAAATATGTCTTGATTCAGTTGATCATAATGGTGGTGAACCACATTGTACAACACACAATTCGATCGGAGTGGTAAAGATTTCATACGCCGTTGGGCAAAGACCCGTAGTAGCAATTAGCTGGAGAAGGCCAATATTAAGACGTGTGGTAACCAAATTTTACTATTATTAATCTCGATCAACTTAAACCCTAGAGGGAAATAGGGCTGCTGATTTAGGATGTGGTGTCCTGTCAGAGGGCAAAAGGATCCGACTGATTGAAAGGCGAAAAGGACTTACCTCTTTCAACAAAGCATATAGCATAGCGACGACTTGCACGGTCTTTCCTAAGCCCATCTCGTCAGCGAGAATCGCGTTGGTGCGCTGATAAAAGGAGTGCCGCAACCACCTAACACCCTCCAGTTGGTAAGGATGCAGTTTGCCGCCTTCCCATGCAGATAAGTAACTAGGCTGACCACCAGTCCAGTTTTTCTTAAAAATATTAACAACCAGACACTCTCGCTTAGAAACGTTACATGGTAGGGCCGTAAAAATACCTTTCAAAGACAAAATAGTGAAAGAAGGTGCTGATGCATGCAGCACCAAAACAGTCCCCAAGTCAGTTCACACATACACTAACAACAATGAGCTTGATATTTATAATCCAGTGTACAAACCAGCGTTCACACTCAACTGCTGCGATGGAATTAGTTAGAGTTCCAGACGCTCGTGTCTCAAAAAAGAGTAACCCACCCACAGGTAACTTTGACAAAAGCCCTACAACGAGCGCTTAACAACCATTAATCGGCCGCTTTCTGAATCCAAGCGAAACAACAAAGCGGACATGTAATTTGTGCGTCGGAAGAAGACTTAGATTCATCTCAGCAATAAGCATCAATAGACTTTTGAACTTGTCTAAGTGGCTGAAATACGTGCCTTGGTTACAAGTCAGTGATTAGTCTCATTAAAAAGAAAAAAAAGAGTTTTAATTTTTTCAGTCCAGAAAAAAACAAATATGGCTAAAATCACAAGGAACTCAAATTCAGGGCTATAAAATTGAAAGATACAAGGAAATGCTAAGGGTTATCAAACAACGAATTGGGGAAGACGTAAAATTAGTTATTTTAATGCGTGTTCATCACTCAATAAGGCAGTTTACTGAAAAGAGCAGACCAAACTGAGGCCTTTTTAGTCGAATAGTCGTGCACGAGTTTAGGGCCAATTAGGTGGCTGCACGAGAGTGGCAGCTTGTTGACGTAAAGAGGAACCCGGCGAT